TATATTAGTCAACAGCAGGAGGCAGGCTGATTTCTGAAATTTCTGTTCGTGCCGGCCATTAATGCTGCTCCTACCCTGGAATCCTTGGGACTTCAAGGAGGGCCACATCATCTAAGATGATTGTTTCTGTCCCCATCACAGTAGAAGTTAAGTACCACCAGATGACAGCTCCAGGCTCTACTGTGTGTCCAGCTCCATCCCCCACAGTAAAAACATCCTATTCTTCTCAAATTCCCACTCACAACTTTGGGAAACAATGCTCCTGGACATCAAAGGAAAAAGGCAGTGCATTCCAGATGGTAGCATAAGCATTCCTGTCTGGACATATGCTATAGCCAAAAGGAGGAGCAAATGTGATTACTACCAAATGGACACTCAGCAATAGATGTGCACATGTGTGTTTCTGTATGTGTGTGTATAAGAGCATGCTAAGAAAAAAGAGAAGGCCCATGTGGCAACTGGCAAATGACAATGTAAAACAGAAGGAATCCCAAGAATTTTCTGGTTAATTTTGTATGCTGCCCAATCCCATAGTTTGAAGCAAATGTTTTTCATGAAGTCTCTTTTGGCAGTTCTGTTTTGTTCTGAGCTGCGGCACACCCAGAGACGCTGGAAGATCTAATTATGCTCTGAATAGTCCGAGTTGTTCCCTTGATCAGGCCTATTCCTAAAATCAGTCCAGATTCCTGTCAATAACCAGCAGTGATCTGTATAAGGTATGTGGCCCCATGGCCATGGTTGACTTCAAGCAGGTACATGCATACCTGGATCCTAGCTAGTGTTCTGTCTCTACTCTCAACCCACCCAGGTCCCATGGCAGTGGGAAAACACAGTTATTCTTATTTCCTTCAGTGTCTCCCATGAGGAAGTTGTACTTTGGCCCTTGTCCACGTAACATGGATTATCAGGGTTTCATAAACAGGCAACCCAAAACTGATAGAAAGACAGTAATGCAAGTACACAGAGGTGACCAGGGTTATACAATAGTTTGGAGGGAAGTTCAGTGGAGAGCAACCTGAGCTAATTTGCATACACTCCTTCCAAACCGAGGAACAGCCCTGATAATGGGAAAGACAATGTCAGCTATAAATAATGCTACATTCAGGTTTTATTATTTGTTGGGGTTAGGCCTTTCCTGTGTTTCTTGATATCATGTTATATCATAGGTCATGGAATGGGGTGGGTCACCTGGGCCATGGCCTGACCAACTTTTAGCATGTTTATTTATATAACCCACAAATATGCAATTGTCATTCCGGTTAAAACTATATAGCTATTTTTTAACTGCATAGCTAACTAAATTAACGTGCTAAAAGTTGGTTGGGCCATGGCCTGGGTGGCCCACCCTGTTCCATGGCCTATGTGTCATATAATGGGCAACAAAAAGAGGACCATCATCTGGGCCCTGTTTTACTTGTTTTGCAGCACTCTGGTAATTGCATTCTGCAGTGAGTGGAGCTCAGTAATCTGGAGGGCTGTGCTGAGAGTAGTTATCTTATTCATAGAAAGGCATTTCATTTGATCAAGACCTTTCTTATTTCAGATAATCCCAAGCATTTGACAAGCAAACGAGTTGAAAGCTGGCAAGGCAGTGCCATTTGTATAGGCAAATATAGCAACCATTCTATACTCTGTGATAGTTCACAAGCCCGTTGGGGCTAGGTACAGACATTCAAAAATCCCAAGGCAGAATCTAAGTTACACGGTTTTCTGTAGGTGGCATCTTTTAGATAGGTAACAAATAGAACATATTTGCCCTTTGGTGTGGGGGGAGAAAGGACAAATCTTTGGCCAGGTTCAACCATTTTTAAACCAGTCAGTGTGCACCAAACTTCTGTTCTGTTATGGGGATAGACCAGTTTCTGATCACTTACACTGGTGAAAGTAATGTCTATACCTGGCCAGGGAAGTAGAACCCATTTTATTGAGAAGATTGCTGGACATCTCACCGTGGTTATTATTTGTCTTTTCCAGAAGTGACATCACCAGAGACATGCATGGGAGAATTTTCTTTAACAACTTGCCTGAAGTATTTCTAGAAGTTCATACCCACAGCCTAGAAGTACACTGCAATATCAGCATCAGAGATGATCACTAATTTAGGTATGAGAACTTAAACCGAAGATACCCTTAAAGTTTTTACTTCAACTTCTTCTATAAATAACTTGTCTCAGAGGGATTTAAGTCACATCCACAATAATTTGTAGTTATGTTATCTAGTAAGTGACTATTGATTGTGGTTTTTTAGATAAGTTCCTGCATTAATACTGCAAGTACTTAAGCAATAACACCAGAGTGATGTTTGATATCTCTGACTAATTCTGAAGTATCTCTTATTCCCAGACTGACTGTCACTCAGTTCAAAGTCACTAAATGTTTTGCAGACAAAGAAAACTATTCTGTGCTGCACCTTTGGCAGACCTTGTTCTGTACCTGGTACAAGAAGAGTAATCTCTTACTGAGGAGGAGGGTATAGGCCCATGAGGGAGAAGCAGTAAGCAGTTGAGGGAGGAATGCAATCCATCTAGTGCACATTGCCTGGGTTTCTATTAATAAGAGATGAGCAGATTTTGTGTAATATTTCCATCTGCCCTTATTTTTTGGCCTGCACTTGCCTTGACCCCAGAAGGGTATATGTTCTACAGTCCAACAGGGTGTTCGTAAAATGAATGCTCTACACATGCCTGAACTTTGCCTGACCAGCATTTAAATAGAGCATGGAATAGGTTCTTTATCTTTCTTGACATTTTGCCTTCTCCATCAAAAATCCTAGGTTAATGATTTAGTGTTGTAGTATAAATCATGAGAAATGGAAAGGGAAAGTGCTGGAGGAGGAACAGAAAGAAGGGAAAGAAAAGGATCATATAGATTGATTCAGAGAGAGGAGAAACACCGTATTGCCAAAGGCCAGTGTCTGTAACCATTGTGCAGCCTCTCACTCACCCAAGTAGCACCCTAGACAACAAATGTTGCATAAAAATCCTCTCTAGTGGCCTACACTACTGGCATATGAAAGTCCCATCAACTTCAAAGGAAAATGGCAGTGCAATAAAAAAAGGTATTATTATAAAGGAAGACTAAACCAGCAATTAAATAAAAGCAAATAGCACCAGCCCATTTAGGTTCCCATAATAGAATCTAGAACTTTGGTGTCTGATGTCCTAAGAGTAAAAATTATGATGATGAAGAAAAAGAAGAACTCTTTTTTTTCCTGCCCTGTTAGCTAGAGAGAGGTATAGACATTTGGATTTTTTAAATAATAAAAAAGAATAATTAAGAATCCAAAATGAAGCTGCTAGGGTTGAAAATCTGACTATGCAGGTCAGGACACCGGAAATGCAAATCACCATTGGAATGCACATGAAAAACAGTATGGTTGGTCTAATAAAAGGTATTATTTTGGAACCAAGAGTTTTAGTTTTTTGTATGTCTTTTTGTCTCAGACCAACACGGCTACCAAGTACACCCAAGAAAAGTGGGGAATTTCAATATTGCTTTCAAGAAAGTTCCTTTTAAAGTCTTTTAAAATGAACAATGATTTATATACAATTATTTAGTCGTGTAAGTAATTACCAGCCATTGAGTATACTTTTAATTCATTCAAATGACCTATTTAAGAATAGCTTATTTTCTAAAAGCATTCTTCTAATCCAAATTCTCTCTCATATTACATCTGAACCTTTCCCCATATATTGTTGTAGGCACCATAGTCACAATGAATGTTCAGTTATAGAACCCCTGAGATGTGTCATTCCCTGCGGGAAAACAAATATATTATAAATTCTGCCTTGTAGAGCAATTTTAGTATAACAGTTTGAAGGAGCAAATCCTTCCCTGGTTATGGAGCACTTATGATAAAATGTTAAGGTGCATCACTCAGGAAGATCTAAAAGGCTTTAACCCATTTCTAGTTTCTAGTTGAAATACAGGAGTATTTCAGGAAACAGATATGTCTGTGAGAGAGAAAGAAAGAGAGAAGGGGTGGGAAACTATCTTAGTTTTTACTGATACCTATTCTGAGTGAATTAAAACTCATCCACTGATGGCAGTTACCTAAAACATTTATTCATCTGAAATTATATCATTGATGCACTTTTTACTTGTGCGAGTTTCAGGTATCAGCATGAAGTAAATCTATCCTGTATTATTTCTGTTTCCTATGATTATGAAGAGAGATCTCACTGGCAACTTTGTGCCCATATGGGAGAGAAAACTGTTAAAAGAGGGCTATACTAAATTCGGTTTGCATTAGATGACTTGGAGAGAAATAAGTAAGAAGAGAGTAACTGAAAAAAAAAAAGAAGGGAATGGATCGGAGATGAATTACTACTACTATAGCATTGCCAAGAATTGCTTCCTCTTGTGCTACGCATCCCACAAGCACACAGCAAAAGACGGTCCTTGTTTAGAACCTAAATAGGGAGAAAGGAAATATTATCTCCGTTTTTCAGATAGGCAACTCAGATATAGAAGGACCTTAGTCACCTGGCAGGGGCTCTGAAAGAGATGGGATCTGAACCCATACTTCTTAAATTCCTGCCTAATGCCTCAAACTCAAGAGCATTTTTCCTCACTGTCCCTTTTCATGCATCACAGAATAACCCACTTCAAAAGTCCTTACCACTGGCAGTACTAAACAATTAAGAGAATTTGAAATTATTTTCCAGAGACAAATAAATTAAGGATGGTCTAGTGGTGTAATCTACTTTCATTTCTCACTCTGAGGAGCAGAACAGGGTAGGGAGGGAAAAAGCAAAATTATACATTGGTGCTTTGGTAGATGCTGCACGCAGGACTTGGTGGGAAGGTCAACACAAACAAAACAATATGAATTTTCAGGCTCATGAAGGAAAGAGAACACTGGAAACCACGAAAAAAAACCCCAAAACCCACTGATATTCAGCAGCTTTGAAAAGCTACCTAATCATTTTTCTTTTGCACATCTGAAAAGCCAGCAGTGGAAAACACTGCTGCTTCCAAATCTGTAGATGCCCTTTTACCTTTATCAGTGTATCTTTCAGCTGCAAATGGCAAATCTCTTATCTCTGAGCCAGAATGTGGTGAGCTCATAAGCACTGCTTTACTGGGTAGCGGTGATGTGTCCAGAAGGATGCATAAGCTAGACCCTGTACCCAGGGGCAGATCCAGGAGGGTGTACAGATGCAATTGCACCTCTTTGAATCCTGCTCCACCCAAAATTTAAAACCAACTGCCTGGCACTGGCAGCAGCATTTCTAGTTAAGCAGCACTGAGGGAGTTAATTGACTTCATGGCTCATTATGATCTACCTGATTCCTTCTAAACACTTCATTCCACAGGTATTAGCAACCCTCTCTCCTTTTTAATAGTCTTGATGGTCAAGCAATCAAGTTATCCTTGTTGTGCACTTCTACTGTCTGTTAGCTGCACCTGGTGATGAAGCTCCCATTTAATAGCCCTGCAGATTGCTTTTAATTCCTTCCAATGAAGTTATATTTAGTTTTGCTTCCATCTTAAACTGAATAATACAGCCCAAGGCCTTAATATATTAGTAAAGCTTCTAGCTTATTTTTAATTGGAGAAAAATACGTGTTGTGTTATATGTGATGATGCACCTCACCATTTTCAAAATTCTAGATCTGCCTATGCCAGTGCCCTTACCCTCAAGGAAAATAAGGATGTCTGAGTGAAAAGAAAGTGTAAGAGAAAGTTAGTAGCTGTGTAATAGCTCCTTGCCAGCACAGTTACTGAACATCTGTTATGAATAATCACATTTTAGTATTTTTCTCTCCAGAGACCTAAGGAATGATACTTTGGTACCTGAAGGGTTGTGCAAATCTATGTCAACCATGCAGTTGGTCCAATACAAGAGATCACCCTTGAAGATCCTTGCCTTTCATATTTTTGTAGTGATTCTGCTGTAGGAAGACATAGGACAAATTATGGGACCATAAGAAATATGAGAGACCAGAATCCTAATGCCTCTATTCCCTTTTCTCTACTAATCAGAGCACAAAAAAATGTTTGCATCCCTTGGACTGCTGAAAACTATTATAATCCCTTTCCCATGTAGAACTGAACAGAAGCTGCATGCATCTCTCTACCTATTTGATTTTTGTTTCAATACATTTAATTCCATTGTGTTTACTCTCCTTTTGTTTAAGTCTCTCTTGAATGGTCCAATGAAATAGCTTTATTAGAAGAACTCCACAATTAAATGTGACTTCTTTGAGTATGACAACTCAAAATTAAATTAATAGCCAATTTGGAAATGCATTACCTGGCAGGTAAAAATCTGGATTTTGCTTCATTAACTATCAATTAAACTCAAATATCCCATTATAATTTTTCATTATTACCTGTTAGCTCCATCCAGGGAGAGGACAAAAACAAGGCCATCTAAATTAGGTGGGCAAAACATCTTGGTGGAATTTGGAACACATGTTTTTTTTTAACAGTGTGGGTGATTACCATTATAACAAGCTCCCAGGGGAAGTAAAAGATTTTCCATCTCTTGATGTCTTCAGCTCTAGTTTGGATTGCCTGTCTGCAAGGCATGCTTCAGTCAGATACTGCAGTGGGCTTAATAGTGAAGGTAGCTGAATGAAATTCTATGGCCTGAATTATACAGAAAGTCAGACTGAGCGATCCAATAACCTCTACTGCCCATACAATCTATGAACTGATCACAGACAATATGCAAAGGGTCAGATTCTTATAGTTTCATAGATGTTAGGGTTGGAAGGGGCCTACTAAATCATTGGGTCCAACCCCCTGCCTGGGCAGGAATGAGTACTGGGGTCAGATGACCAGGTGTCTATCCAATCTCCTTTTAAACACCTCCAAGGAAGGGGACAGCACCACCTCCCTTGGAAGCTTATTCCATGTTTTGGCAACCCTCACTGTGAAGAATTTTTTTCCTGATGTCGAATCTGAATTTGCTCCCTTCCAGTTTGTGGCCATTATTTCTAGTTACCCTGATGGGTTCCCTGGTAAACATTGTATCCCCTATTTCTTGCTGCTCCCCCCTGATGAGTTTGTAGGTGGCCACGAGATCACCTCTCTGCTTCCTCTTGAGGAGGCTGAAGAAGTTCAGGTCTTGCAATCAGTCCACATAGGGTTTTTTCTGTAGGCCTTTAACCAGATGTGTGGCCCTCTGAACCCTCTCCATGCCATCCACATCCCTCCTGAAGCATGGTGCCCAAAACTGGATGCAGTACTCCAGCTGTGGCCTCACCAATGCTGCATAGAGGGGAAGTATCACCTCCCTAGACCTGTTTGTGATGCACCTACTTATGCAAGAAAGGGTGAGGTTAGCTTTACTTAACACTGAGTTAATTGTCCTGGTGAGATCAAAACACTTCTAGTTTCACAGACCAGACAGGCCAATACCCAGTGATGCTAGGTATCAGTACACACTCAAAACTGCTGATGAATTTTCTTTACATGGTTGATTAGAAAGACTCTCTCCCCCAAAGTCCCTTCCCAATTCAAATACATTTGCAGACAGAGAACATATGAATCTTTCTTCTTGCTTTCCTAGTTCAAAAATAGGACGAGCCCAGCTGTTTTTCCAGATGTCAGTTGAACTCCAGTGTCTGTGCCCCTGCTGCTAGTATTCTTAATGACATGAAGATGTGTTGGATGGAGAAAGCATATAACTAGCTTTGTCCACGAAGAAGAAGGGAATTACTGAGCAAATCAACTTTCCTGGAAACAAGGTCTCTACAAAGCACCATGTATGCTCTAATAGTGATGATAAAAAAGAGAGGTATGTGAAAGTAGCTAAGAACGGAAGTTAGTTGTGGATGTGTTTGAGTAGAAGTGTGCAGCTGTTTTGCTCAGACGAATCTGAAGCTGCTTGACTCAGAGACAGGAGTTTGAAATGTAGTCCAGTTGTACAATCAGAATGAAAGCTGTTGCTGTCTATCTGGAAGCTATTATTCTAAGTGCTGTTCATAGCTAACATAAAACACCTTTAATAGGATGCAACCGAAGCGAGGTATAAACATTTGGAAAGTACACAAATGTCAGTGTATGGCCCATCAACAATTTTTGGCACTGCCAAAAATTCATCAACAATTTTGAAGTATGACTATGAAATGCATCCTAGAGTGAGTCAGAAACCAGATTTTTCATTCTTTGGGGCTGGCTTTCTTCATTCACACTGCTCTCAAATTAGTGTGTTCAGAGTCAGCTGAGTAAAAGCTGAAGGTGTCGCAACTAGGCTTGCAGCTAGGACATTAAGTGAGCATACCAAGCTAAGATAAACCAAACATATTGCCAACTTCTAAAGGTAGTTGGACATTTTGGGCTAAATTCTTAGAAGTCTTAAAAGCAGCATTAAAACCTCATCATATTGCCTGAGATTTGAAAACCCAGTGTTGAAGCTCAGAGCAGAGGAATAGCTTAGATTCAAGTTCACCAAGCTGTGTGATCAATAATGGCATGAGAACCTCTTTCAGTTCCCTATTGCAAGAGCAAATGATGACGGGTGCTGAACATTTACAGGTGCCATCAAACCTAATGAAAACTGTAGCTTTTCAGCACCTCTCCCCTTCCTCCAGTTCTGCAGAATCTCACACTGGCTCAATGGCTCTCCAGCCAAGAAGATTTTGCCACATTGGTCAATGTCTATTTGACTAAATGATATTTCCTCCCACTCCGGCTTTCCTGCTCCTGCAGTTTGTTGATCTGCACTTGGAAAAAAAGGATTTTGGCTTCCAAGGAAAGTAACCCAAATACAGATTTATCAAAAAATGCTAATGACATCATATCATAAGATGAGGAAGGTTGTTCAGGACAACAATCCCTCCATGGAGACAGAATTGCATAACTATCTCTAAAATGAAATGGCCACTGGGGTGAAATTATTTTGGGGTGTTACTGCCTGATTGAAGCCTGAGGTCTATTCCCTTTAGTCGCCCTTGAGGGCTGGGTGAATTAGAGTCAAGGAAGCTGACTGGGGAGAGTCTTGAATAAACTGCTTGGATTTAAATGAACTGTCATATACTTCTGCAAAATAAGCTTTGACTAATTTGATTTATTCTTTCATTGTTGATAACTGCCTGGAGCACTGCACTGAAATGCTTCTTTTCAAATGGTTTTTCCATCATGTCACATGTTCTGTGGATTGTTATCATAGGGCTTCTTGTGACCACTTGAGCTATTATTTACCTTGAAGTCCTTTGGGGCAAGGAGTCATGTTTTTGTTCAGTGTTTGTCCACTCCTAAGCACAGTGGGGTCTTGGTGCAGCTCTTAGACACTACCACAATACAAATAATGAAGAAGAATGCACATTGCTTTGTTGTTGCTGAGCTGTTCATGTGCCCTGGTCTATGGTCAGAGAGTGACTTGACAATTTCTTCTTTTTTTTTTTTTTAATTAACAAAACAAACAAACTTGGAAATATGTTGTCAACAGAGCTCACAAAAGAAATGCGTTAGATTTTGCAAATAGATAAGAAAAGGAAAATACAGTAAACTGAAAACAGCTCCTTCCATCTGAAATGAGGTTAGAAAAGTGAACACACTCTTTTATTAACTCACCCAGTATCAGCAGCAGAAGAATGTGGCCTGGCTCTTGGCATGGCTGCTGTACTCTGGAGCAACATGTAGCTGCAGCAACAGCCATATTTTTTTTTTCTCCCCATCCCCATCAGTGCCTGGAGTAGTTGTTCCTGTTGACCTAGTACACCTATTGACTAGGGGCTGAAAAAGTATAGTTTGAGATTCAGATGCCTACAATGACAGGCTGAGAGCCCTGGGGCTCTTTAGCCTGAAAAAGCGCAGGCTCAGGGGTGATCTGATGGCCACCTACAAGTTTATCAGGGGTGACCACCAGCATCTGGGGGAACGTTTGTTCACCAGAGCGCCCCAAGGGATGACGAGGTTGAATGGTCACAAACTACTTCAAGATCGTTTCAGGCTGGACATAAGGAAGAACTTCTTTACTGTCCGAGCCCCCAAGGTCTGGAACATCCTGCCACCGGAGGTGGTTCAAGCGCCTTCATTGAACACCTTCAGGATGAAACTGGATGCTTATCTTGCTGGGATCCTATGACCCCAGCTGACTTCCTGCCCTTTGGGCGGGGGGGCTGGACTCGATGATCTTCCGAGGTCCCTTCCAGCCCTGATGTCTATGAAATCTATGAAATGTGTGATGCCTTCAATGAAGGTTAACTTGTTTGTGTGACAGCCTCCATCTAGGCCGACATCCCAACTTGAATCAGGAGCCTCTGAAACTCCTGAGTGTCTACTGTATGAGTTGAAAGGCCAGGCTCTGAAGCTAGGAGCTGAAACAGAGTTCTTTTCCTATGGATCAGGCACAGAAGAGGACACAATACATACAACTGTGCATTACACATGGGCGCACTTACACCAGGACACACAATTTTGCATTTTTCACAGAAACTGTGAAAAAGGCGGTTTTGCAATCCCCGCAAAAACTGGCATTCCCTGATATTTTGTGCAGAATCACTGGGATGAAAAAAAAAACTTGCTAAACATGCTGGCTCCTCAGTGGAAGCCAGTGGCCACTGCAACCTGGCCCTGCAGCCCACTGGGAGGGAAGGGGATCCACAAGCTCTGCTAGCTGCCAGAAACCTTCTTATGTGGAATTCCACAAACAAGTGCACGGTCCTCTTCTAGGCTGTTAACTGCTTCTTCCAGGTACACTAGTTGAGTTTCTGGAGGGTTCGCACATATCCCACTTTTTACAGGGATCTGAAAATCAGGGGGCAGCCCAGCCTTTTGCAGCTGGGAAAATTTTGGATAGAAACAAGCTAATGTGTGAGAGAGAGATGGAGGGTGTGCTGTGTGAGAGAGGACAGAGGAGGGAATGGACCAATAAGATTATGCAGACATGAGCATCAAACCAGAGCCAGAAAGCAAGTCTGTTACTCCTCCCTCTAAATAGGTTTGATAGAAGAAAACTGACATCTTGGTAGTTCATCAGGAATGCAATTGTGAGCCACACTTCAATATGGTGCAACATGGCACCTGGCTTTCCTGTTCCTATTGGAGAATTTAATCCAAGAGTGCATATTCCTTTACTTTCTGCATACAAGTCTTGCTTTTACCTACTCTTTATACTGGAGCACAAAGGATGAAATAACAGTGCCCTTTTTTCTCCCTCTCTGCATTTCTGCATGGATACAAGCAAGCCTTAAACTTTCCAGTTCAAGCAGATCCTCAGATAAGTCAGCCACTGTAACTTGCACCTCTGTGTGTGTTTTCTATCATTTCTGGACTTTCTGACTCCCAGAACTTTTGGCAGGAAAGTCCAGAGAATGAGAAGTTCCTTCTCTTACAGGAAATGCATTGTCTCATTAAGGGATAAGGAACTGTGCAGATATGTTAATTTATACAAGTAGTTTTTAACTGGAAATGGTGTTTGCTCAGCATCAAACTATGGGCAATAGTAATAAATTATATAATGGCACATTTTAAACTCTTTTTTCTATTTTGGTAGGTAAGAGATAAAAACAGTTCCCACCATCCTACTTTTAATATATAAATACAAACAAGAAAACAATGAAAACTTTCCACCTTGCTAGAGCCAGTGATAGAATGTTATGTAATGGCCACAAACTTGGCCAGCTTCTAGAAAGAAGTGATGATTTCCAGACCCAAGGACATGGATCCCTCTCTCTCAAGCTAAAGGAACAAATCGTCTCACAGGGAGCTGCAGTAGATTCATCTATCCTTGTCCTCTCTTTTGTATACAGATTCTCCATCTCTTGCCCACTCATAAGGAAAAGGAAGGAGATGCCCTACCATGTACCAAACCCAATTCCACATCCCTTCACTACCCAGATAAATCTAGTGGCCCCATTTAGCCTGAAGTCACAGACAGGTAAGATAAAGATGGCTGTAACAGACCAACATCTCCTGGGTTCATGACGCACTGTAGAGTGGGTTATAATTGCAGTAACTTTACAGTATGTCTATTTTAGTCTTTCTATCAATATTAATCACATTTTCTCTCTCTTTCCATCTTTTCTTTTTCTCAGCCCCAAGTATTTTCATTCATTCTCCTCTGTCCAGCTGATTTTCTTTCCCTTTTTCTCTTTGCTTCTTGTCCATTATGTTTTCTTTACATCTATCTCTTCCCATCTCCCTTTCTCCCATGTATGTCTTTGCTAGGTAAACACATGCTTTTCCCTCCTGTAGCTCATCTAAACGCCATCAGTTTAGAAGGGTCATGTCCCTTTCCAACATAAAGGAGAAATCAAATCAGAGGCTCCACAAGGGGTTATCTTAACACCCACAAGATAGACCACACCAATCTAGCCCTGGTCTCACACATTCAGGCAGATTTCCAGGTTGAGGTCAATGTAGCATTAGAAGTTTACAGCTGCACAAAGCCTATGCCTTACTGTGTAATCCCAACAGTCTGCTCTCTGAGTATAACACGAAGGAGGACAATATATGCACATTGGTAAATGTTTATACATCTGCCCCAGGAAATGCATCTTGTTGCCCCTCAAACTTCAGAGGGAATCAAATCTAAGTCTCTAATATGGCAACACAGAGCACTAAATCACAGCTTCATGCTCTTTCC